GAATGAGCAACACTTGTGTTGTTTCATTTCAGAGGAAGGCTTTTTAATGGAAAATGAAATAGCATGTGGAGGGGCTTCTGAAAGCATCAAGGTGAAGGAAGAGGAGCCTGAGGTGCTGCAAGAGGTTTCTGCACCTTCTCCTGACCCAGAGATCCAGAAGTGCCCCAAAACTGAGCAGGCCAAGGCCAAGAGCAAGAAGAAGCCGAGCAGGTGTGAAAGCAGCAGCCTGCTGATGGGCAACTGTCGGCGCGGCTACGTGCGCGAGTGGTCGCACCCCTGCACTGAGTGTGGGAAGCGTTTCCGTCTGAAAATCAACCTCATCATCCACCAGCGGAGCCATGCCAAAGAGGGACCCTACGAATGCACGATATGTGAGATCAGCTTTGCGGACAAACGCCACCTGGACCTTCACCAGAGCATCCACATAAAAGATAGGGCCTTTGGGGCCAAGGTCTGGGGGAACGTCCACCCAGAGCTGAGGATCCGGCCGAGGAGGAAGTTCTGTGGGGCTTTCTGCGGAGGTGCCCACAGCCTGGGCAACGGGACATGTGCTGGGGGGCCCTGGCTCAGCCAGGCCAAGGAGGAGCAGGACAGAGGGAGCCTGTCCAGCATGTGTTTCTCCCGACAGCAGAGTCCTAAGTCTCGTAGGAAGCCTATGCTGAAATGCAGTCTTTGCAAAAAGAGTTTCTCTTGCACCTTTTCCCTTCAGCGGCACTTGCAAACCCACTTGCGGGACAGGCCGTATTGCTGCTCCGCCTGCAAGAAATGTTTCACACGCAGAACTCACCTCTCACGCCATGAGAAAATACACGACCGCCAGAAAGCCCTGGCTGCACTCCAACAGCCTGCGACGGCCCAGCCCGCAACCGCCGTGCCAGCACCCCGGCAGCCCCGGCCACAAGGAGCCCCGGAGGCACCCGCGGGCAGGAGCATTCCTCGCTCAGCAGCTCAGGCATCCGAGAAAAACATTAGCCCTGTGGCCACCACAGCCAAAGCAGTTCCAGCAAATGTGCTCCTGCTTGGTCCTGCAGAACTCAGACCACCAGACAAGAACTGCCACATCCGTGGCTGGGGTGGGAGAGCCGTCCAGCCTGTGGTTAGACTGGGAAATAGGGCAGCGGTATCAGGGATGATGGAGAAATGACAGCAGGAGAGATCCAAACTGCTTGTGTCCCTGGAGAGAAACTGTGAGCATTGATTTTGCACATGGTGGGGCACTGGGGTTGTGAACCATCTGCTGCCGGATTTTAGGAACTTTCCTGGATCGCAGAAGGAATCAAAAGCTTGGATACCACGATAGAGAACAAATTATAGAAGCCTCCAGTGATCCAAAATGCTTTACCATTCCTCAGACTCTCATATCTCCTGGCTGATGCACAAAATTTTCCCAGGCTGACCTTCCTGGGAGATTACCAGGTATGTCTCCTGCAGCCTGGTGAGAGGAACTGCAAACAGCAGCTGAGCTCACTCATTACTTGATGCTGGAGCTGACCCCTTGCGTTTGGAAATACAATTACATGGTGAAGAGGACAGAGAGAAGAGGATCGAGCTGGGGAGCCAGGTGGGATTCCTGAGTAGCTCTTGACTTCACTGACAAAGTTCCTTGACCAAGACGCCGGATGAAGAGAGCGTGGCATCTCTGAGACCACATCGCGTCCTGGCCATGCTTGTTTAATAACCCACCCTGGTGAGGAAATCTGCTGACCCCTCGATCAGGTTGTAAACACGTGAGCGTTCCATTGGAAAATAAGTAGAACAAATCAAACCACAATATTTTCTGCTTGCGAGGGTGCTGCAGGTGTTTCTGAAGTCCAAGCAGCACTCCTTCCTCTGACAAGGCCAGCCTGTGAGAGCCAGAAACATCCATGAGAGTTCATTCCCTCAGGACCAGCCTGCACAGATGGAGAGTCACTTTAGAAACACTTCACGGGTAAGATTACGCCTGCGCTGCAGCAGCAGTCCACGTGAGGATCCCTCCTTGGGGCTGCTGCACACCGACGCCGGCTTTTGCACGGGAGCAGCCCCTCTGCTCGGCCCCGCTGCAGAAGGAAGCCCCCACTCTCCAAACTGCAGGTGGTCTCCTTTAGTCATGTGCAAATATCCCACTGTAACTAATCGTATGGAAGACCAGTTCTGCTAGCTACCTCAAATGTCATGGAGTGAGACCTGCCCAGAGGCAGACGGGTAACTGGAGCCCAATAAGCGATGAAAGCCAGGCCAGGTGTGGCTCCAGCGTTCCCAGGAATCACTTGAACCGTGCGTGTCTGCACCCAGAGGCCTGTGTACATCATGTGAGCTGCTCAGAAGCATGAATTGTGTGCAGAAGAGGAAATTGGTCCTGGTGGCATCGCTGTGCAGACCAAATGGAGAAGCTGTTAAGACTCTTGAGTTTAGTTTTCTGGGTGGTTTTTTTCACTGAGTTGCTTGATGTAATTATTTGACATCACTAAGTCTCTGTCCCTCTATGTGCAAGGGATGTGGGGAACCAGTTTGCTTATCAGATTTTTCATTCCTGGCCACTCATGAGGTCTGATGGGCTGCAGGGGAGGCTGCTGTGGGCAGCATGCTTTGGGCACCGAGGAAATGCCTGTGCCGTGTCCTGGTGTAATCCTCAGCACCGAGCAGTGCCCGGCCACCTCCCTGCCCTGCGGGACGGACAGCAGTGTCAGAGCCGCTCCCTGGGGGGACACACGACATCCCACTGCTCCTCTAGGCCAGTTTCTCACTTGACTACTGTCCCTCAGGATTGCAGAGTGTTCCTAGACTGTAGTGTTAGCCATGCGGGGGTGACAGCGGCAGATAGGGTGGCCCCGTGTCCCCAAAGGGACCATGGCGCTGCTTGCTGCCAAGCCCTGTAGGATACAGGGGCAGTAGATCCATTATGGGTCTGAGGTGACAGCGGGTCTGGCAGTGAGCCGTGCTCCAGCACAGTGGCGTGGTCTGTAGTGACCAATCTGGTTATCCCTGCCTGGGTAGAGATCCCAGTGACCCCCAGTTCATCCCAGTGACACAGTGGATGAGTCAGCTCGTGTGACGGTATTGGCGGTGGGCAATATCTCCAATGCCAGCATGGGTGGCATGGAGGGGCCGGCCGCTCCCTTGGGCCAACTGCCGTGACCGGGGCATTTCTTCTGAAGTTGTGAGTGGGACCGGCTCTTCCTATGAAATCCCAGATCCCTTTCCTGGGCTATGGAATTGTTGTGGCTCAGCCCCAGCCAGCAGCTGAGCACCACAGAGGGATGGGGAGGAAAATGGGAGGAAAAAGGTAAGATGCACAATGCAGTTTGCTCACCGCCCAGAACCTGATGTCCACCCAGCCCGTGCTGGAGCAGGGACTCCTCCTCCCAGCCAGCTCCCTTTATATGTAAGCGGGTGATGCACAATGCAGTTTGCTCACCCGACCCCATGCACAGCACGTCCCCAGCAGCCGCCCCTCCCCCCCGGCCAGCTCCCCCCTTATAGAATGAGCATGACGTCATATGGGAGGGAATACCTCATTGGTCAGATTGGGTCACCTGTCCTGGCTGTGTCCCCTCCCAGCTCCTGGGG